CTTCTCACTGATGGCTAATTGTGTTGTCTACGTTTGTGGATTGAATATAGTTGACAATAAAACATTTAGAAATTTTCGTAGTTCGTTTTAGTGTTTGGTCGCCCAGTCGTTGGTCGATCTTTAACAAACCTAGTATTTTTTTATTGTAATTTAAGTTTACCAATTCGTTAAAATCATTAATTTTGTCGTTCATAAATTAAATTTTAGTTTATTAATTAAATCATTAATAACTTTTGTGATTCCTGCAAAAACGGTTGAATTTGGTTATGAAAAATGTTTAAAATTTTAACAGCAATCCAAAAATGAAATAAAAACATAACCTTTCTATTTGAAATTATAAAGTTCGGTGGCTCAGGAAAAAAAAACATAAATCTGGAAATGTAGGCTATGTCACCATTGGATCCAGCCTAATTGGAAACCCCCGTATACCACCACATTTCACGAATTTAAGTCTAATAATTCATGAGATATATGGCGCGACTTTTGAGTAACCCTGTATATACAATGATGGTGTTTTAACAAATAGCTCTAAGCAGTGCTTAAAGCTTTGGCCTTGAGAAAACCAAATTTAATTGAGTTACAGCGTCGTTATAAATATATAAATAAATTACTAACCCATTATGTATACTAAGAATATACTTTTTACGTTTTTTAACGAGGAAACTCGTTTCATTTGGAGACTATACATCTCTTGGTAAATCATTGAAAGCTTTAGATGAGTTAATAATTGGATGTTGCGTTCCTATTTTCATTCTTGTTTTAATCTGGTATATATTGTTTGTAATTCTCGTCTGTTATTTAGCACTTTGAAGATTAATTTACATAGTTTTATTTGCAGAAGTGAGCTTAAAGATATTTAGTTCATTGTATAACTTAGTTGTTCGTCTAAGAATCACACCAGACCTGTACCCTTTTGTTTTGGTTAATTTGCTTGCAACCGTTAAAAATTTGTTCAATTGCCGCATATTGGAGGTGGATATATAAAGCGAGACATAGAACAATTTACATTATATCCTTAGTATTTTTTTTCTATAAATAATCATAGGTACTACTTGATAATCAGTATTTACTAGTTCCAACTTCCACAAACAGTTAACCCTTAGTATCTAACATCATTCACCTATTACAATACCGTACCATAAATAAAATAAATTTTAAAGTTAAAATTTTTATTATATTTTATTTTAAATATGTCCCTGACTGTGACGTCGTCAATTTAATAATCAATTCTAACCTCTTCAAATTTTTCAATACCGTTGTGTCTTTCGATGGTGATCAGGTTTTCCAAGTCCCAAACAATACCAGCACCGATGGTGGTAAAATGATCCTTAACGTGATTAGCAATTTCCTTTTGATTAGGTATGTTGAGGGAAGCGATTAATAAAACCCCGCTGATTGTTAAAATGCTGATTTTTTATCTTATTATTGACTTGGTTTTAGAGTTTTGGTTAGCTTTGGTTAGTTTAGAATTCATTTTCTATGATCAGGTTACGGGGATCAATTGTTTATATATTTTATACATATTTTATCGCTTCCGTTTAACTTTGTCAAGCTTTTCTTGATTTATTCAATTATTGTCTTCACGAACTTTATATATTTTAAAAAATTGTGACTGTTCTTTGCATTTTGTGATTAAATTTACTAGGTCCTGAAATGATTGAACTTTGACGTTTATGAGTTTTTGTTCAAATCTGCCACTAGATATTTTATGATTTTTTTTTAAATTCTATATCTGACCAACTATTACTTTCCATCGTAACTTTATATCATTAAGAATTTTAACATTATTTATTGTAGTTATATTTTTTAGTTAGTTACCTCACTCATGCAGCAAATTGATAGTATAGTCCCCAAAACTTTCCCAAAAAAATTATAACCAGAATATCCTATAAGGGGGTATTCAGATATTTAAATAATTTCGCAGTTGTTAAAAAGGATTTTTGCGAAGTCATGGGTGGGGCAGTTGAGATTGCTTACTTTGCCAGCGAAAAAAATGTATTTTAAAGAAAAATAATTGCAAAGGTCGGACGTATTTTACGTCATTAGATAGTTAGATAGAATCCAAAAAAGTGTTATATGGGGAAATGTTAAGTTCCACTTTAATGTCTATAATTCTCTTTAATTTACCAAATAAACTGGTAATTTATTATTTCGAACGAAAATAATTTTCAAAATTTAAATAAAATATTCTTGAGATTTATCACATTTTTTTAAATAATTTCGTAGCTGACATGACATGTTCACATCCTTACCCGTTTTCAAATATTTTATTTTTCCATTAAAAATTAGGTTCAGTCATTAACAGGCTTCAACGATAAATTATATTTCTTACTCTCCTCTGATACGATGCATGAAAATATAAAATAATACCGCCAAGGAAAATGCAAGTTTGACTTCAAGATCCAAGACTGAAGATTTGGGAGAAGATCAATTGTGACGCTCTCTATAGCTATAGCTCTTTATCTAGGTTCGTCTCTTTGAGTAGAATCCACTGTTTCAATAGCGGTTTTGTTAAGCCCAGCAGATGGAAACGCATTCTCCTTAGGTCTTCACATAGATACACGTGTATTTTCTTCCATTTCCATTAGGCTTCGATGCCGACAGGGGTACATCGGTACATAATATTCTTATAGAATTTCTGTTAGCGAATTTTGTTAATATTGTTCTTTTTGTAATTCTTGTTGCTTTATAATTGAACAGCTCCAAACTGTCTGGTGGCCATATTTGTTTACATAAGTGAGTGAAATTTGTAAGTTGAAGAAAGTCGTTTCTGAATTTATATTTAAAGTTTAAGCGAAATTTGGTCAACTGGTGCTGGTGGTTTAAATATTTGTATGTTCCAACTTGGCTCTCCGTTTCTTTTAATATTATTGACTCATATAATTAATTTCTGTACGGAAAAATCATAAAATAAATGAATGAATGAAGATTTTAAAAAAACACAAATGATTTCCAAAATTCTGAAGAAAATGATAAATAATAATCAACCGTCAGGACTGTGATGATTCGGTCTACAGGTGATTAAATTATTCAAAAGTCTTTGATTCAATAAGTAGCGAAACACTGTTACCAGTTTTACATTATATGGGGTCAAGTGATCACGCTATGCATTTGTTTCGAAATTTCTTAAGTAACATTCTTAAGTAGACATTCAAGACAATGTTAGAAATTTGCGAGTTATTTTTGATGTGACGTGAATAACATTTTAAAAAATAGTATGTTACTCTCTCGCGCTCTCTATGTTCAATCAGGATGATATTGTCTACGGCAGCACAAAAAAAACAAGACACAGAAAGTTCGAAATTGATGTCCTCGTCTCATATATGGAATCGAAAAATTTGAAAGGCTATTACACAAGCCTAAAGACGCGGCATTTTTATCATCGAATGACTCCGGCCTACTACCTACCTACAGATCTTCCTTTTTAAAGTTTTACTTTCAACAACAGAAAAATTGGTATCGATATCGCTAGTGCAGTGAAGTACTTGTTATAAATTAACAGTTGGAAAGAATGTTATAATAAAAATATTAATATTTACAAAACTTCCGGATTCCCCCTGCTTCGGTTATTTTTGAGTCGAACTTGCTAACATTTCGCCAGTCATCCTCTTGGCTTCTTTAGAGCTTGACTCAAAACTGGCTCGCATTTTACTCTGTATCTGATTGTATGTCGGATCATTGATTCCCATATTGGTGAGTCGCGGTTAAGTTTAACTGGTTGCTTATAAATTTCTATAGATTCTCAGGTTTACTATTGTTGGAAGAACTGATTACGTGTAAGAATTTTAGTTTAATCGAATAAAATTTTATGGTCGCTTTCGTGACTGTATTCGGCAACTCCTGACAAGTTTATTTGTCGTAGGCGTAAGGCTTTATTCCGGCATTTTTCAATGAAAATAAGAAGATTTGGTTAAAGATTCTCGGATTTTAATGTATCTGAAGTAATGTTCAGTTTCAGGGATACGGATCTTAGTCTACTGCACGTCTAAGTACAAAAGAAAAAATATACATATATACTTATACATACACACCTACGATTAGATGAAATCTACAATAATAATAGGTATAACAACGTAATACAAAACATATAAAAACAAACAGGAATAAAAATAAAAAAAAGGAAGATAACGAACACGACCAAATAGTGACCACCATCACGAATATGTGTATGCCTCTACAGAGTAAAAAAAAAGAAAAAAAAAATTTGTTTTTAATATTTCTAAATAGCAAGTCTCAGACTTGATTTGGAGTTAGGTTATATAAACTTAGGTCAAGAGAATTTTTAATGCTTGTAGTGTATTTAAACTTCCTAGTTCAAAACAAATTTGAGGAGGAATTCAGGTATTTATGATTATCTGAGTGAACTGCTAACATATTTTTTGAGTTATGACTTTTTTACTACCGTGTGATAAATGTATACCGACACCGGTGGCATAACCCTAAGATTCTGAAGCGGCGGTTGACAATGGTCTCTAAATCCTGCGTTAGATATAATTCTGATTGCTCTTTTTTGCATAGGAAAATTTTTTATGGGATCCATTGAGTTTGCCCATAGTATAACGGCATATGACAAAATTGAATGAAAAATAGCATTATGGCTCGAAACTAGGTAATCCTTTCCGATTAAATTTTTCACAAAAAACAAAAAGTTGACACTTGAGAGTCGCTTTACTAAATAAGCAATATGTTTCTTCCGAAATATTTACGTTTGTTGAAAACTTGTTTGATGTTTTGAATGTAGAGTCATCTGCAAAGAGATCATTAATATAAATTAAAAACAATGATGGCGTCATAATGGACCCCCGTAGAACTCCGTGCATTACATTTTATTACTGCAAGAAACTACATGGTTCCTATTAGGGACACAAGAGGGCTAATATCTCCAGCGCAATTAAAATTGAAAAACTTGTGTATGGTATATAGCACCTTCCACGACTAATGGTTCATACGTTATCCCGTTCGCGTTGTACAGTATACTATTATTCTATATTCATACTTACATGTGTAAAATAGTAGTAGTAAACTTTCATTCCCCTTTCAGCAGCGACTTCGGCGAACTCGTTCATCGGACACACGAAGAAATAATCTCCCACCACGTTTCCAACCATTTTTTGATTGAGGTAGCCGTCGTTAATATGTTCCCAGTCGGTATACTAGAATGAAAAACGAAATCGTTTAGTTAAACGGATATTTAGTCATCCACGTTGAAGCAACGAAGCTCGCAACCAATTACAGCATAAATTGTTTAATGTACCAATTTTCGCGACCGCCATTAAATAAAATTTACGTATGTTTGAATTTGTTTTTCGCACTCTGACAAAAACAAAATTATTCGGAATTAAATCTACGGTTTGTTAGCGTTTCACGACCGCCGAAAATTATTGACCGGATTATATGGCAATTTAAATAGCACGGGAAAGTCACAGTATAAATTCCATTTATGCTTTACGCCCTTTATTGTTCCATACGCTGCCAAATTTTAACAAAATTAGTGGTAAAATTTGTCTAATGTGAGTACAATAGTTGTTTGGATTCATTTACACATTGAAAACGTTCTTGTTGCATTGGTTGTTGATGAAGCGAATATGCTGCTTTGCCAATCGTTCTACTGGCTTCTTCTGTTAAGGTTTGTTTGATTGTTCAGTTTCAGAAAGTTGGTGCGATGATAAATTCACCACACTGTTTGGTAAGTTTTGGTTAGTTGAGAGTAGATTGATGGTTCCACTTGTGGTGAGGTTCGTTTTTTAAATTTTTGAATTTGACTTTGGGTTGAAGGCAACCGTACCTCTGCAGAGGCCATCAGGATGATTGGTGAAACGTGAACAAGTTCGATTTCACAAGATTTGCAAATAGAATTACAGTAGCCCGTTGAAGTTTCTTTGGGGAAAACAAGGATTTCACGAAGTTTACATTGCAGTCAAAGTTGAAGAAAACTTTTTCCATTGTCAAGTAATTTCTGGAATTTGCACTTTCACAACCATAATGTTTTTATAAATGTTTGAATGTAGGTAAAATTTAATCAGTTTTAGTACAGAGAGAAAGACAATTATCTATACATTAGTTGTCTTTTACTATGGACAATTGTCACTTTGCTATATATGGATGAGATTTTGGACGATGTTCTTGTAGTAGCATCGAGAAGTGTTCTTTTCACTCTATTCTATTACTCTACATACCTTAATTCCTAGCCGATTTTGCAATTTTAAGATATTGCAGATAAATTAACCAAAACTAAAATTTAATTCAGGTCTACTCTTTTTGAATACGTTAGGTATGGTCTGTTCACAGATATAAGAAAGTGACCAATTGTTTTTGAATGGGATTATCCAATGGTGGTCATTAACATACAATGCAACACGATTATTACCTAAAGTTTCGGAATTTAAATGCAGGTAAAATTGTGGTCCGTAATAGAAAATAATTTTATACCTACCTGTGTTTAATATTCTTTGGTTTGGTATATTACTTAGTTTAAGTATATCAGTAATCATTTTTATTTCGTGTGTAATACAGCGTGTGTTGAATCGGGTGCGAATTATGCAAAATATGTGCGAGTCTAGTGTATCTCAGGAGATGCTCCCGCCCAAATGTAGAAAACACTATTCTATTGAGACTAAGGAAGTTATAAACAATGTTTATTTGACTCTCATTAAACGTGGTGCCAGCAAGTAAGCATCTTTAGAAGAAACGGCCACATTGACGAAAATTCCAACATCATATGTATGGAAAATTGTGAATAATCCCATTTCAGCGAAGAAAAAAGAAGCGATGCTGACGTTTTCTCGAATGTAGATGAAAGTTATGAAAATTTACCAGTTACACGAGGAACAAAGCGTGCCTACATTAGATATCTTAATTAGTAGGCTTGAAAAAGATGAAACCGATGTTAAATGTGGCAGGTAGGTAATAAAAATAATTAGTAATTTTATTTTAGATTTAAGCATAAATACATACATAAAAGAATAAATATTGTTTAATATCTTTCCTAACAAAACCCCAAATAATTAAATTCTAAGCAAAGTACGGACCTGTTCGGCCATATTTCATTCTTACAGCTTGCCCGGGTCTTTCCTTAATTCGTATCAGTTAGTCACTTTCTATGAACAGACTTTACATCGAACACTACATGTCTGTAATGCATACTTTGTATTATTTATATGTATTTCTCTCTTTCTCTCTCTCTAGGTATTTTTGAAATCAAATTAGTTCGTATTTTAATTACGTAATATTTCGCGAATTCATAGAAATTTCTAAACAACCAAACGACTCAGGTCTTTATTTACCTTTCACCAATTAAGCTAACAGCAGAATTAGTAAAACGTCAGCAACCAGGAAAAATCCAGAAAATTTGGAGATAGTAATACGGTAACATGTGGAACCTCCTTTAAAAAATTTGCAAAAATATTTGCAGGCCCAAGTATTGCAATTCTAAATACACTAGAACTGAGAGTCTTTGTCACAAATTTAAAGTAGATTTCTTTATATTACTAATTTAGTTGTGTGTATTAATATTTTAAAACCAAATAAATACAAGGTGATCAAGAAGCAACACTAAAAATGTAAATAGAAAAATCGTTAAGACTCATTTCTCATTTCAAACTTGTATCCTATCTATCATCTCTGCTATACTGTTGACACAGAGAACAGATCTTTTTACATCTCATGTGAAGAAGGTATCAGGTATCACAGATGAAGAAATTTGTACCCAGAGGACTTCTTATTAATCAGTATTAATTGAGCAAACGTGTACAACAGGACGTCCTACAGCTTAAATGTCATTAATAAGTTTTATATTTTATCAACTTGCTTATATCAAATAGCGTACAACAGCAAATAAGATAAGTGTTATTAGTTTACCTGAAACACTATGGCCTCCCTTTCCATCCTGGTGAAATTCTTGAAGATGGTATCGATGATGTCGTGATACTTGTCGCGTTGCAAAAAACTGGGGCCGTCCTTCTCGAAAAAGTCGATGAAATCGTACAGCAGGAAATAAGTGCCTGCAAAGAAATATACACATTTGTCAAGCGTGCTAAATTTGATTTTACGGGACTAAATTTCGTAAACTGCTATAATATTGCTTCCACAAAACATTTTTAATAGGACCCTAAATTTGTTAACGCCCAGGAAATCTTATTTTTAGTGCAAGAGGTAATATCGTCCGGGTCGCCTCCGGGCCGGTGCCAAGAAGGGAGGTAATTACTCTCATTCAATTAACGAACTTGCACAAAAACAAAAGAAAATCTTAGGTGAAGTCTGTTGCAGGCGAACCGAGCGTTTCTGTTCTTTTTTTAATTGCCAGAAAAGGTGGGGATAATTGCTCTGTTTAAATGGAATGTTAAATGAAAATACACTTTCAGAGTGCAGTCGAAAAAAGTTTGGTTGGTCTAACTGAGAATTTTACAAAATTTTACTATGCTCTGTTTCTCTACTATTTTATTTTATATTTTTTGAAATTATTATTTATTGTTTATCAGAAATTACATTTCCACATTACGAAATCCGCCTCAGACATTACATAAGCCTAAAAAGCACAATTAGTGTTCAATTTTAATGAAGTAAGCGCAGCCTTAATGGAAGAATTTCGGAAAAATGTTATTATTCAATCTTAATTGTGAGATAACTGTTAAAATGGACATTGACAATTGGCAAATTAAATAGCTGCAACTGCAATGTTTCTCGATTTGCATTTTTTTCTGTTATAACATCTTTATTAATGGTTATAGATATTAACGATTTTTTTTACAATTCTTATTTCATTTAGGAGTTGCTCTGATTTCGAGATATAATTTAAATATTGTTGAAGTGTTAATCGCTGATAAACATCCGTAGATCAGTAAGTCGAGAGTATGAAACGCATCAACAGAGAGGCTTTAAAACCCCATTAACGAAAAGTAGTCGTCAGCATCCGCAAGAAAAGGGAAAAAGTAAAGGGCTAAGCGATTCGCCCTGAAGGACACCTGATATCGAATATTTTTATCGTCGCCACTGTTTCTTAATGCATGCTAGGTTATAAAGTGTAAATTCGCAATGACAAAGAAAGACGGTGGATTGAAGATTGATCACGACTTTTGCATTTCCCTTCAATTTACTAATTAGACAATTCAACAAGTAAATATTTTCGAAAGAGTTAGGTTCTCTATCATTATAAAATTTATCAATAAAAGTTTGACAAATAGTTAGGTATCTAGATAAATCGTTTGGGTTCCCATTGAATTCTGGAACGCAGTTGAGATATTCGGATTTAAAAGTAGCGATACTTATAAGAGATTCACTAAATTGACTGTCTGATTCTAAATTATGTTTTTCAAAAATAGTTGCGAAATAATTTTTCTGACCTGAGCTGGTTGAAGGTGTATTATTACTTAAATCGATAGTTAACGTTTCAATATTATCAATTATTTCATTAAGTTCCGACATTAACAAATAATTGCAACTTACAGTACTAGGTAAGGGGCGGTTCTGGTCATCCCTTCTATAAGAACAAGACTTCGATCGGCGATATTGGTCTTCACAAAATTCTTGTCCTTGCGAAACTAGACGATATGATTTCTTGTTTCCGATGATCGTGTTCTGTACAGGTCTTCGATAGACTGAGGTTTTCGATTTTCAGAAATCCACTCTGCCAAACACTAATCACCAATAGGTACGATTTCCAATTAATCGATGATACGAAAAATTTCTGGAAATCCTACTGACTGCGCCAATTAACTACTCGGAACGACCGTTGAATTTTTTTGAAACCTTATTTAAATTTACAACCGTTTTAAAATGGTCTGTTACAATAACATATCTAGACAGAACTCCTTTCGACACCGTTAAACTACGTTTTTGAATGTAGAAATAGGACTCTGCTGGGCCAGCATTCTTGGATCTTCGCTAGTGAGATAACTCATGTTATCAAGTTCCCACTTTTCTTTTTTATTTAAATCATATATTCGATGCACTTACTCAAATTTTCATAACCCACTGTTTTTATTCTCTCTTGCAACGACACCCATTTTAAAAATGGGTTTGTGTCTTGCTAGAACCCTTTTTACTTGCCCGATGCCAATTCTATGGAGTTTGATAATAATAATAATATTTTAGTCAATATATAGCTAGTTATATATACGTTCATTGAAAACGCAAGAGTGCAATCAAACCAATATAAGTTAGATGATGAATGTACAATTTCCTATAGTTCCTTTTGCAGCATATATTTCTGAAAGTGATTCTTATTTAAAGTAAGCTAATGAATGATGTCTTTTTTTTTCCGAGAAGGTGTGGATATTTTGTCGGATTTTCTTGGGTTTACTTGAACATGATAGATGACCCAGTAGAAACACTAAGCGATTGTCCATTGTAGTTGTACAGTTTAGCCCTGACATCTTTTTCTAGTTCATTACTGAAAGTCGTAAATTGACACAGGAATTTTGTTTGTCAGTTTTGAAATCCATATCAAAAGCCAAGCAAAAATTTTCAAGAAATCAATGGTATTGACATTACACATGGTTCATTAATTGATGGAATAAATAGGTTGAAATTTTGTTGTAAAAAATGGTGTATTTCAAGCCGGAAATATCTAATAGAACAACCATGCATTGTTCGTACACGACTGACATTTTTGAGGTATATGAAAAACTAGAATATAATCTTTTAAGAATTTCCAAGTTAGCATTGGAAAATAGCCATCGCGTTGTGCGGCTTCCGCCTTATCACTGCCAATTTAGTACGATAGATATAGTTTGGTCAGATTGTAAATGGTAATGTCATGTCAAAGAATCTGATGATCTGATGCCGTAATGCGTTTATTGACTGAAGCACTTGCTCACTTTCTTCAGAAAAATTGAAGGGTGAGGTTGAATTTTAATCTAGCGCTTGCCCAGATAGCACACAGTTAAATTTTGGACAACTTAGAAGAAAAATATTTAGTTTTTTAGGATTTGTGGTGTTTTGGGGGACATTTTATTGGCAACATTTTTGTGCACGTCTACATCGACGTCAGTGTTGCCAAATCCTAAAAAAACGGAATTGAACCGTTAAAATCAACTTGTTTTTATTATTTTTGGACACGAAAGAGACAAGAAACGCTATTTTAATAAAAAATATCACAGCAAATACGGATTCATCTAAGTTAAAAAATTACAAAAACGTAAAAATAATATATTTGTTTATAAGATCTCATTTGACAATACGGCTGCAAGAAATGCAACTGCAACTACTCGCGGTCGTGCAGTGCCGGACTCGGTCGAGTCTCGAAGGCTTGTAGTCTGCCATTTTTTCAGCCTTGTTTTTGTTGGTGCTATACGGTATACGGCGACTTGGCGTCTATTTTGATTATTTTGTGTGCTGTGCTTACTGCTTTCAGTGCTTTCATTTCAGCAATTTTTTGTGGTATTATTATTACTGAAGAACTGTAAGTAGAGCTTTATGGTAATATATAACATAACCATTGTTGTGTAGTCTACCAACATCATGCTTTGTTTTTTATTATTTTGCTAGGTCAGTGAGATAGCAAGATCAGGCGGCGGCTGCAGTTATGAGTTTTAAAACAAGCTCTGATCTCCCTGATTTCAAATGAGCTTGCAATGATATTTAATTTTTTGGGCATGAAGAAAAAGGAGAAATTTTCAAAATTAAAATTGGCCAAACTAATACTTGGTAAGTACCAGTCTAGTTCTTTTTATTTTGTTCTATAAAGTACAGATATATAAAACCTGTCCTTCTCAAAACTAAAATATTTTCAGATGCGGATAAGAAGTCAAACAACACATCACAAACATCGAAGGAATGTGAGAATTCTGCTGCTTGGCTGAAAAAAGCTACTTCCATCAAAGAATGACAGAAAACCTGTCAAATAATAGTTATTCTTTTAGAGTTTAGTGCAAGATATCGATCTTACTCTATTTTTAAGATGCTTTAGGTTAGGTTGTTATATATTTTTGGTATACCTACAATTTTTTCATATCTACAATAGATTTATATAAAATGTGTTTTATTAATGGTATCAATCGGCAGTCCTTCACTTTTATCAACAGCAAAATTAAAGATTTAATATTAATTGGAATAAACTTGTGCATTTCAAATTTCGCTTGCTATTCCAGTGATGACTTCCCAACCCTACCCAGTAGGTTAATTTCATCACACGCGAGTACCAAAGACTGGGATAGAATTTTTGTAGTCGTAGAACCAATTGGACTACTGGACATTACCTTTCCAGTATTTCTCATAGGCTATTGGAAATATCCTATTAATTAAGTAAGGTCCACTGGTATATTAATATAAGGCCCTATATCCTCACAGTCGGATATACTAACGACTTCTCAACTAGTATAACTGGATATCCTTAGTGTGTCCTAACAAACATCCTTCGTATACTGTGCACGTTACAATTAGTAAGTAGAAATAATGGCTCCATCAAAAGTAGGAATCATCCTAACATTCTGCAAAAGAGCAGTCACAATATGCAGTGAAGAAGCATGACTTGACGAAGAAAGACAAAGCCAGAAAATTCATTTTCGTCTAAAAAATACCATGTGAATGTGGAGAGTCATATATCGGAAAAACAAAAATACCTTTAAACGTTAGAATTGAACTTTTTTGCCAAAAAGTTACAGACAAGCAACGGTGAGTGAGCAGGTGCATTATCGTGATATAAAATCCATAAATTGTTTTCCCAAAATTCTGGACGTTTTCTTCATATTGCTTTTCGCAAACGGCGCATACCTTCAAGGTAATACTCTTTATTGACAGAACGATCTTTTGGTAAGAACTCTTGATGTGCTACGCCACCCTAATCAATGAAAACCGTAAGCAAAATCTTAACATTTGATCGCACTTGACGTGCTTTTTTCGGTCTTTCTGGGTTCTTTCATTGGGATGACTGGGCTTTGGTCTCGACTAATCAAGTATTAGTTTTGAGTATATCAGCATCATCATTGGCGTCGTCTACGGTCCCGTTGTTCAAAATTAAGCAGTTTCGGAACAATTTTTTTCTGCTACACACTTCGACGCCAAA